TGTCCATGGCGCACACAGCACAGCGGAGGTTTCTTTTACGCTACGCACACAAGAAAGAAGGTCTGTAAGTACGTGCAGATTGGGCTACAACACCTACATGTTGAGCTAGGACATACAAAGTAACACTTAGAAATGCTCATGGCCTCATGACTGTGCCTAGGGCCAAAAAGCAAGTACAAAGCAACATGTATGTACATGACTGTGGAAAACATGCCTGCTCAGAAGGAATACCTTTCAGTAGGTACCCTTTTTGGGGGGTCCCCAGAAATAGGGATTAGAGTATATTGGGGTTTATGTTGGAGTCCCCTTATTTTGGGAAACTGCCATATTATTTCAGACAGAACTCCAGGAGTTCAGGATTCTGGCTCGCCACCACTAACTCACAGCTAGGTTATCTCATGTATCTTGCTGTTTGTGCTGTTCAACCTTGGGCTCCCCTTCGTGTTCTCAAATAGAAGAAGGGTTTAGGGTTTAGGGGAAGGACACAAGGGTGGAAGGTTTCACTCCACCATTTGCTGGTTCCACACGAGGAACGGGCTGGACACCTTGGAGGGTCTGGCAGCAGTGGCAAACTGAAAGAGATCTCAGAGCCCTCACCCAATCCCAAGGCGCAAAAGAACATTTAGATTCAGGATGGCCTAGGGTTTAGGGTCTGGGAGAACTTCAAGGCTTGAAAAAATCGTCAATTCAATCTGCCTTGTTGGCACTAGGCAAGATTGGTTTGTCCTTTAGCAATCTGTCTCATTCTGACCCTAGCATTTTTCAAGTTGTCACTTTGTGTAGGGATGCAGATATGGAAATCATTTGCTCTTGGTGCTCTTTGTCAGTCAATCGGGTCAATCAGTCATACGCCATGTGGCATGCCACGACATGCAGCCGACGTGGCACTGGGGATGCGCTCCAACACTAAGTTGAAACTGTTGTTTGTTTTAAAGGGAAGGGTCCTCCTCAACACCGGAATTCCAAGTGAGGCTTGCATTGCTCGTTTCAGGCGGGATACCCCCACCAGGCGCTCATGTTCAAACAACAGTTTGTCTGGCAGCATCACTCGATCAAGCGGGCAACCAGAACGTTGCGAGTCATCGGAACGCTGCTGTGACGCCAAGAGTCAACACATAGACTACTCCTGTGCGCCCGTGCTTTATTCGCTCCAGAAGGCAATGCAAACCAAACTGTACCCACAGCCTGTTTCCTGGCAGGCTTTCTGATAAACCGCAAGTCTGATTGATGAAGTTCGTCTTCTGACACGGGAAAAACTTCCAAGCACAGTGACAATGAGGCATGAAGAAACAAGACAACCAACTTCAAACTTGCCGAAATGTGGTGTGTGGACAACCTCCTCACAGGTGAGGTGACTTCAGCCACTAGGTACTTGTAGGAACAGCCGCGAGAAAGAACGTGAACAAAAAGCGTGCAGCGCGTCTTCTTGCACTGTTCCAGCTCGCAGTACTAGTACATTGGTGTTCTATAGGAAGAATGGAAAAGAAACTGGAAACTACATGAAACTACCAAGTACATTGGGGTCATAGTCCCCCTTAAGTAGAAAGAATGTGGCTTTGGGTATATTATAATAAGATCCCACATGAGCCATAGTCTAAACTCCTGGTATCCCCCTATAACCCTCATAATAGTCCCCTACATAATTCCCTATATAACCCCTTTTAAGGAGTTTAGATTATGGCTCACATACCCCTCAGAAGCGTGCAGGTCGAATCCACTCCCAAGGCCGCAGCCCAGAACCGCGCGTCCGGCCAGGGAACCGCCTTCTTGACACCTTGAAATCATACTACTGTTACTATTGATACTATTATTAGGAATATTAAGTATTCTTAAGACGACTAGTAGTACTCATACTATTGATACTAGTAATACCGTTAATACTAGTAGTACTATTGGTATTGTTAATACGGTATTTTTCGTATTGTTATTTGTATTATCAGTCTTACCAATATTATTAGTACTATTGGTCTTGTTAAGACGAGCCACAAGATGCGAGAGAAACACAAATTTGCATCCCTGGGCCAAGCTCAAGGCCAGATATCCGGTCGCGACCGTTCTGAGCGAGCGGCCGGCCCACCACCTTTCACTGACGCACTGATCTTCGCGCATTCCCAGAAGCTAAGCATGGCGAACCGTAGCAGCAGTTGCTGTGGCGGAAGCCGCAAGAACCGGGAGGCCTTGCGTGATATGAGGCCAAAGCTTCCCAAGTTCAAAAATGAATTCGGAGACACCTCGCGTCCTCACCGGGCGCCCAGGGCGTGGTGGACGCAAGAATCGGGCACATGGGGCGGTCGGCCGGGGTCCATAGCGGGCTGCCACTAGCGCGGCCATGACAGAAGGGGGGGTTAGTTCTTGATTTCACTTGCACGGATAGCTTTGCGCACTCCTTCTCAAAGCTTGAACACAGTACATGTACATGACCCTGTCACGCATTCAAGTGAATACCTCATTGTAGCTGCATGCAGCTGCATGCAGCTGCATGCCAGCATCTGGCGATCTTCCGCGCCTCATCATGACAACTGCAGACTCTGAGCACGAGCAGGAGGAGGCAAGCAAGTGAAGTCCAAGTGCTCACGAAGGGGGTTGAAAACTTGGCAGTAGAGCCTTCAGCCAGCGTGCAAGCATGTGTGATCGTTGATTGCGCGATCAAACATGATTTCTGCGAGAAGCCTCCATGTCATCACGTATGTACACGATTGCAACGCTAGCAAGCTGTCCATCATGTTTAGCATTCTATGCAGGCTGGGGGTGGACTGAGCTGCAGAATGCTGAATTGCTTGGCCTCCGCCCAGGCGCTACATTGCGAAAGAGAAGTCTTGCGGCATGCTCATAACACTAACACTACTCATACTACGAATAAGACTAATAGTACTCATAATACTAAGACTAATAGTACCGATAGATTACTAAAAGTACTAACAGAGCAGTGCTTCACTCTTGGAGGTGGATGGACAGGATGCTGTGCACTGCAATGCACAGTTTTGGCTTGCAGCTAGCCGAAATGACTGCCGACTATAGCTCGAGTCTCCTTGATGTTGGGATTCGGATCCTTTGGAAAATCACGAATGCGCAGCTTGAAGTACCTTCCAAGAGAGAGAGGGCCGTCCGATGGAAGAAAGGCTGTATGATGCTACATTCAAAACACATTCTGCTTGTCGCACGTGGCCGTCCGCACCATCTTCAGCATGTCATGTCGATGGACGAAGTCTATCTTGTTCACGTTCCTACAAAGGATCTCCTCTTTGCACTGTGACTGGGCGCAGCTCAGGGTGGCCTCTTTTGTTGCGGACTCCGTCTGCGCTTTTTCCTGGCTTCGGATGGGACTGATCAGGTACCAATTGCCCCACGCAGCAATCCTTTCAAGTAGGCCCAAGAAGCCCATCTCGCAGATGCGCTCGACGTCGTTCCCAGCCAAAGCGCGTCAGCCGAAACCGCTTTAGCACCTGGACCGCACAGCTAGCTTCGAGCAGCTGAAACACACAATGCTGTGCAGCGCAGCCGGTGCCTCCGCGTGGTTTCGATTTTTCGTGGTCCGCATCTTTGACTCTTGCTTCAACACCTTGGTGGCTATGTCGGCAGCTGACGTAATTTGCGTGTAATGGCGTTAGCCTGCGATGAGGAGTGACATGTTGCATGAGAAGCACTGCTCAAGGCCTTTTCTCAAAGGGTCAGCCCAATCCAAGGTGCTAGGATAAATTCCCAGGGCGGGAATGGGAGGAAAGCTAAGACACAGCCTGGAGGTTTGATCCTGCTGTGGAAAGTCCAGCAGCACTCCATTGCATGCTAACTTGCGTCTGCAATTCTGCAACGCTGCCGCTGCATTGCATGATCGGGGTTGGACATGCATGGGGGTTGAGGCCTAGGTCGCCAAGCCCCTGAGCAAAGATAAATCCTGATGGACATCAGGCCTGAAGAATGGGTTTAGGGTCTAGGGTTTAAGGATCAACCAAACCAATATCTCAGCACATACCACGAAACCCCGACAGGCTGCCGTCAGTGCCACGCAGAAATCAAGCTCTAGCCACACTTACTGTATCTGTATCATGGCACTCTCCGGGCCAGCCTGACAAACATGAAATCTCTGACACCTGACCCCTTGAAGAGGCACCCTAATTTGATTTGCGCTCATCTCCATCTGCCCAGGGGACCAAACATGAGATCCTGCACCAATCTAAATTTGGGGTCGCGAGGCCTTGGATATTATCTCGGCGCATTCGTCCAATGTCTCCACAAAAGTCACAAGGACTGCATCGTGATCTAGGCTCCAGGCATTGGTTCTTATTCGAGACCATGGGATAACCCTTCGCAAATTATACCTGGCAATACCATAGCCATAGCATGCCAAGCTATGATGGATACTAAACATCCTGTATGAAGCTAAGTGACTCATACCTTAGGAATCAAGGAACTTTCCTATGATAAGCTCATGCAGGATTTTCAGTATCAACAGCATGCTCACAAAAAATGGTTCGCCATGGGGCGCACCCTCGCACTTGAATTCCCTGAGATTCTGCGAGCGCTGGTTGCCAAGGCCTGCCCGGCCAAGAGGAACATCAGACATATAACTGACACAACTCGCATGGCATGAGGTTTCGTAATGATCAGCCAGCTGTACCTGAAGCTTGGTTGTAGTCTGCTGGTTGGCAGCAGCCTTATCCATATCATTGTTTCACTGCACAAGCACAATAGAGTTTCGTTTCGCTTGGCATCAGGCCGAGTGAAACTGGGGCGAGAAGACGTCAAGGACACAAAAGCCCTCGAAGCGCCTTGAGAGTACCAGTGCACTCAGTGCCGCATCCCGCTGAAAACCCATGCGGTCTCCTGGCTTGCATGCCAACCGCTGGGGAAGAGCAGCTGGGATGCAGCCCACCATCCGCCTGGCAATGTGCAAAGTGCACCAAGCTTTCTTTGGCTTTCCCAGACTCTTCCATCAGGCCAGCTCCACAAGGAGTGGGTGATCCACATGGCGATATGTCTCTTGATCTGAAAAATTTCTGATGTTAGCTTTGCGAGTGCCTAGCACAAATTAGGATCAACAAAGCTGCGAGAACTCTGCTTGTCCATCGTGATACACTCTACGTCAACTGATGGGCAGAGAGAGCTGCGCAGCGCTGTCCATTTCAAAACAGAATCCGACTGAGCAAGTAGGCTGACAAAGTTCTGCTTGCACAGCAAACGTCATTCCGTTCCCTGCTGCAAGACTAAAACGGCTTTCCACGAAACCAAATGGTTGTTTTCTTCGCAGTGGCTGCACCGATGTGCAGCCGGCACCATCCTTGCGACGTTCGAGCGTGCCCACTGCCAGATTGGACATGTGCACAGTCTGTACACTGCACTGGGCACTCCAATCCCTCAGGGTGATGGTGCATCGCTGTAATCAATCCTCGTGAGCCTGCTCCCCATCCACTTCTCCAGGGGTGTGGCGCTGTACGCCCAGGAGCAGGCGAAGGAATCTCAGGCATTCCAAATGACAAATGGCCTCAGCTGCAGAGAGGCACAGAGAGGCCGTATGCTGCAAACCTTTGCAAACCAGTCAAAGCATTTGCAGCCAAAGCTCCCACGCAAGCGTTGCAGTGGGCAAGATGTCTGTAAACGGGAGCAACTCCTCCATGGTCCCTAATGAGGAGACGAGCCAGCTACCGAACAGGTACCTTAGCTCACTCAGCTCTGTGCTGGTCACGCAAACAGCTGGTTTAAGGAGTTTGGTCAGTATATATATATATAGGGGTTATATAGGGATTATATTGGAGTCATATAGGGGTTATATTAGGTTTTTTTGTTGGTGGATATATTGGCGTTACATAGGGGTTATGTAGGGGTTATATTGGGGTTAGTATAGGGATAGGAAAAGAAAACAGAAACTACTATAGTATACTGGGGTTATAATGGATAAGGGTTATACAGGGGTTATAGGGAATCTATTCTGAGGGACGACACAGCTGCTGTAAGCAAGGCACTGCAGAAGAAAGCCAGCAAATGGCGCCCACATGATGTCGGTGACCTCTGTTTGTGACCATGAGGAGCAAGGTGAGAATATCATATGAATAGGGTATATATTGGGGTTAAGGGTTTAGGGTTTAGGGTTTATAAGTGAAGGGGATCAATGGGCTTACACAACGACGCGTCAGCTTTGAAAGAGGATCCGGCTTCTCCAAGAATAAGAACAAGATAGCTCGCCATGCCTTGGCAACCCAGCATAACTGCCATATGGGCTGTTCTCAAAATCATGGGCCCGTTTTGGGTACATAGTATATTACAGCACCTAATATTTAAGGGTACCAAAATGGACCCTAATCTTGGGAACTACCCATATGTTACCCCAATGAGGGAGCGGAAAAGCAAATGGAAAATGAAGTGCGTAACTGGGTTCATTTAGGGATTCAGCAGAGGTGCCAATGAAGTCGATGAGAAGGCAAGCTGCAAGTAGTAACCACTTGTCACTTCTCACCTTCTCAGCATAGGCCGTAATGTCGAGTCGAATCGGGCTCCCGAATCTCGACAGATCCAGAAGGAATCTTCCCTTGGCAGGAGCTCCCTCTCTCAAGCTCTCTGTGTCAAGCTCTTCAGGTCATGCGGTAGTTTTAGTAAATTGGTGGACCCCACATACACCCCAAAAAACTATAGTCCTGATTGTGGGGACACCCCAAAAAGGTGCCCCCCATTTCTGGGACACCCCCGTTTCTCTAAGGCCCCTCACCTCCGCTGTGGATCTGGTCGCGCCATTCGCGGCCATGTCCGGAACAGCTCTGTCAGGACTTTGCCTTCTATACGCTTCTTCAGGCTTGAGCCGAGCCGCAAGTTGCAACTTCCGAGGACACTTCGAAGACTTCCAGAAGTATAATGCCGAGTAGGAGGACACAAAACTGACACCATTTTGAAGGCTTTTTGGGTCATGCAGCAGCCTTCGACACTGCGCCAGCTCAGTCAACGGAAACCCCCATTGCCAAAGCTGCCTCCTGCACTGGCCTGGCAGTCACAGCAAGTTGAGAGTATTGTTTCGGATTCCCAGGCCATGCCAGCAAGACGTGAGGCCCTTTGAACCTCGCAGAAGTTGCGGAGCCTTGGACTATTCAGGCTGGTGGCTGTGTCTCCATCACACTTGCTCATTTTCTCGCACTAGGCCGTTGGCTTTGATAGTCTGGCCACTGAAGACCATATCGGCGTCGTTCAAAGCACGCACATCGGCCTGAAGTAACTGAAAGCTCTCCATGTCCTCTCGTCCTGCTATTTGAGAACCACAGCAGCTCCTGCATCTCGTGCGATTGCTGCTCGAGAGCGCTCTTGCCGCACGTCTGGTCAAGGTCTCAGCCAACGAGCGGTAAAAGACCCGAGACCATCAAGCTGCCTACCCGCGGCATGCAGCAATCGCTTGTCTACTTGGCATCTGATATCCCCTGTCCCCATGGCTGAGTGAGCAACTCCGCAGGTATGACTCGGCCGAGGTGACCTACATGCAAGCTGCCCATGGACTCATCGAGCCCCGATCTGAGCATATCTGAGCGAGCTGGCACCCTGCCTGTGAATCGTAGAGGTCCTTCATGGACTGGCTCCGTCTCTGGCGCTTCACGTAAAAATCGCGCGTCAGCTCCAGCTTTCGCCCCTCTGCATCCAGCCTGAGCCATGAACAAAAGCGCACCCCTTCAACAAAAGCTAGCAGATGCTAGCAGTAAACAGAGAAAAGGGGCCTAGGTCCTGAGGGTCTTGCGCAGCCAGCAGGTCATGGGCGCGTCCTGCGACGGCTTTGGAAGTGCCTTCAGCCTCCTTCTGCAAGCCTGGCGGGACGGTTGCATGGCGATTAACGTTGAATAAGTCTGTTTGAATCGAACACACTTGAGATAGGCAACTCTGTCGCCTGCACTGCAAGTAGTTACGTTGAAGAGAGCTTGTGGCATTGAAGAATGATCAATGCGAACATCAGCTGGGCAGTTTCTAGTTTTCCACTGGGCAGAAACAGCCTTCGCATGATTCAGCTTGCTTCTGGAATGACTGCTTCACGGCAGACAGAGATGTCCTTGGTTGCCGCGGGCTGCAAGCACAATGGAAAATCAAATGCAAAAGAAAATAGGGAATGAAATCGAAACTACCAAGTATTCAAACTTATCTAGGTGCTCTTTAAAGACTACAAGAAACGCCTCAAAGCGTACTTCTTGCCTGATGAGCATCATGGCCGCATCGACTGGATTATTCCCTGATTGGCCTGGGCAAGTGCATGCCTTTGCTATGTTGTCCTTCATGTAATCCCAGCTTCCAATTCATTTTCCATGTTCTTGTCGATTTGATTCTGGACTATGGGCATATAACTCCTTTGTAGCCCTGTATAATACCTACATAATCCCATCTGCGGTCCATGCACTACCGGCCAAAGACCTCTGACAGGAATACATGGGGCATTTTCTAAGTTGAGGGTTCCTTTTCGGGTGCACCTAGAATAAGGATCCGAGTATTCGGCGGTCTGTTGGGGACCCCAAATCTGGCCATTCTTTTGTCGGCATGATGGCTGTAGCAAGGGCGTCCCATGGACCGCCAAGTGCTACTTGCAGCGAGATGGTACTAAAGATTTACTGGGATGAGTAGGGAATCAGGGAATATACCATGTAAGGACAACATATGGATTATGATGTTCCCTTATCCCTACTAACCACCAGTAAGAAGATCACTAATGCAGTTCGCACAGCAATCAGTTGGAGCACAAAGGAGGCAGTACTTCCAACGTGATGCACAGCTGGCCTGGCGAGGTAAACTTGAGACAGCTGAATAAGCCCTATATAGAGACCTCTTGGCATCAAAAAGATCACTGCAATCTGAGAATTCTCACAAGCTTCCGGGCCAGCTTAAGTCTAAGTGATTCTCCGAGGGTTTCTGCACCTCATCTCCCCGGGCAGGCTGCTATGCCACCCAGGCTTCAATGGGCATTCGAAACCCTAAAGACATTAACAAGTCATCCGTTTCTGCTGGAATCCATTCTGATTCAGCTGGGAGCTCATCGCCGACCAGCTCGAAGGATCTCTCGGATCCCTGAATATGCATCATCTGCTTCGTCTGCGGCTTTGGGGACACCCTCCTCGACATTGAAGGCTTCTTCTGCGGAGCCTTGCTTGCAGCCGAAATCTCGAACAGTAAGAAACCCAGCAAGCAAACATTTGCATTCCTCTGCACGACAGCTTCACTTAAACGGAAGTAAAGAACTGCAGTGTGCAAATGTGTGCAATATGCTCATAACACAGATGTGGCAGTTTCCCAAAATAGGGGGACCCCAACCCTAAAATGCCAGTGTCCTTATTATGGGGACCCCAAAAAAGGTACCTCTAATTTTGGGAAATCTCCAATCCCTATAAACCACTCTATAAAACCACGTTTCCATTTCAATTTCTACCTCCCTATACTACTCACATATATATATACCCTAGTATGATGTAGTAGCTTCCATTTTCTTTTCCATGATCCCTATAAAATCCTAACACCTATGTAATCCCTGTAATCCCTGTAATCCCTGTAGTTCCCATTCTCTTTTCCACTACCCCTATAAAACCAACCCTATATTATACTCAATCATACCTATCATTACCCCTATAAAACCCTATATTACACCCATGTAATCCCTATAATATAATTCCATTATCCCTATAAAGCCCCTGTATAGCCCTTTTTACCTGGGACCTTTGGATTGCCAGCTACGGCCTCCTGCTCAGCGATGGCGAATGGCACCACTTTGGAAACAACTCCAGGCTTCTCGCTGCTCCCACGCGGAGTTGAACCAAAAGGTCCATTGATACAACCAACAGACCGAGGCTTTAGCCTTCAACGATTTATTTCGTTTTGTTTAGGACCTTCTCAAGGACCCTCATCTCAATGACTTTCTCAAACCCGCCAGAAGGCACGTCCTTGACGGGAGCAAGACAACCGGCAGTGGGCCTGGAGTCACTGGCAGGAGCCGGCTCAGCAGTCGAAGAACAACAGGTCTAGACCGAGAGAGCTGTACGAAGGGAAGGCCTCGAAAGCTCTGAGGGAGGCGTGGAAAGATCTGCCGGAAGATGCGCAACAGAGTTGCATGAGGCCGGCTACAGACCGCCAAACGATGAGGACAGGGCTCCACCCACCCCAGTTCCAGGCCTCCCCAATGGAGGGACCAGCGATAAGGGGACAGACGCTGAAAACGGCCTGGATTGGACCATGCACAAGAAAATCTTGAGGCTCCCCAACCTGGGCAAGGATTTGTGTCAGGGCATGGCCCGGTTGTGGCAAGCAGGCATTTGCACTGAACATAACCTGGGTGGTGCAAAAAGTGCACTGTGGAGGCCACACTGGCGCATGTGACCCAGAAGTGCCCTTATTGGAACCAGGTTGGTTGAAGCCCGCCCAAGTGTGACCATCCCAGAAAAAGTATCCCTACCCATGTCCCCTCAGCCCATTGCCACGCGCGCCACGCGCGCCCCGCTGGAGCCCAGCATGATAAGGATCCGACCCACAGGGCAATGGACGGAACTTCACCTGCTGGAAGAGGAAGTGGTGTACGCCACGGACGCCGGCCAAGGTCCCGGGGGTGTGGATGTTAGAGCGCAAGTTGCTGCCCTGCGGTGGTGGCCTTCGAACAGAAAGGGCAGTACATCCCTGGCAGCCCGTCGTGTGGATGGAAGAGCAAGCCTTGCTGCGGCTCATGCAACGAGCCCAGGGTCCCATAGATGTGACCATGGACTGCCTCGCGGCTACTCGCATCCTCCGCAAAGTAGTCCCACCAGAGGACGGCGAGGACAGGAGTTGGGAGGACAGGAAAAGGGCGGCAACTAAATGGGTAGCGTCCCATAAAACGGAGGCAGAGTTAGTGCAGAAATCTCATCAGTTTTCCCAGTTTGCTGAAACTTCACACGTCCGTGCTGCATGTGATCGGCAGTGCAAGTCCAAGCTCTCGCGAAGCACCGGCAACCCCTGCCCGTTTGAGCTTGAGGGTCTGCAGTTCATCTCATGGGTCTAAAGCTGGTGGTCTCAGGTCTGCAAGTATACATTATATTATACTAATTTACTTACCATGCACCCTACTATCATGTGGGCCCATGTAACAGTTTCCATTTTCTTGTCCATTATCCCTATATGTCCCCTATAGTACGCCCAGGTACGATCAGAGGCTTCACAGCGGCGGACTGCTTGGCATCCGTTTGGCTTGTTGGTGAAGGTAGCCGCCTGCTTTCGCCTCAGACTGGTTAAAGAAGGACTGCTTGAAACGTTACATGTACTGCCATCAAAACATGCAACATGACCATGACACCTGAAGCCTAATCATGTCCGGTCGACCTGTTCGTAGCTCCGCACTACCTTCAGCCCTCAAGATTCAGAGACCTGAGCCTGAAGCTCTACACGGCACACATCTAGGTTCAAAAGAACCATCTGCCACTTCGTAGCTGCACTTATAGTAGATCGGCTTTGGTTTCTGAAGTACAGTTTCAGGTCTTGCCCTTTGATATGATGGCTCGGATGCATGGCATGGCCTTTCCGGGACGGAAGGCTCCGAGGACTGCGGCTGGTAGGTGGACTGCGTTGATCTGCAGGGCCAGTCTCATTGACGACTGAAAACAAATGGAAAACAAATGGAAAATTAGCAAGCAAGACAGTGCACCTGCAGGCTGCAAATCCGGCGAGCACCAGGGCTCGTTTGCACTACTGTTTGCCTGAAGCGACCCCACAGACAAAGCAACAAACAACAAAACGCAGCACACCATCTGAGTCTTCCGTATCCTCAGTACATCTTGACGCGACCCGAGTGGCTGGAGAGTCAGAAATTGTGCCAGAGTTGTTCTCGCTCCTCAATGTGTCCTGCATGGATCAAATCTGCCTGCAGAGTTCAAGTCACAACACTGTGCAAGTCTCCTCGGTGCTAACAGAAACATTTGACGACGCTCCAGTGGTATTGAGCTTCTTCGCTTCAGAGATCCTCCTTGGCTGACGCTCCATTTGAAGAGAAACCCCGTCAAAAAAAGTGTCAAGACCAGCAAGGTTAAATCCTAGGGGCTGTTGTGGAGAAGCTCTGACTCGGGGTGCCTCCCGCAACACGTGCCAGGTTTGAGACTTTGAGTAGCAAGCGCGATAATTGCCACCGCATGAGCAGCGAAGGCCTCACGAGGGGAGGCGGAAGATCGAAGGCCTTTGGCGGCTCCTTTCAAGCTCCTAAGCTTTGCAAGCATCGAGCCCTAGTCATTGATTTCTGAACCTGCAGACAAGTTTCGAGGCTGAGTTCCTGCGTGAGCCCTGGGGCGTCCTGCTGACCTCTCGCAGACCGCAGCAGTGTCGTCTATCAAACCAATAGCTTCATGCAGGACTCAACTCTTTGACGCACGGGCAGTGCAAGCAGTGCAATGCAGGGCAGGTGTCCTCGCCAGAGCTTTGGGCAGAGGCCACAGGCTTCTTGGGTGTGCTGGCAAACGGCCCGCCTTCAGCGCAACTGAGATGTGCTCAGAGCTCATGGCCCCGAAAGGCTGTAAGATGCTGTGAGAACGGCTTCCACGACTCCAGTCCCAGTCACGAGTTTTTGGCGCCTTTGCACGAGCTGTTGGGTCGGCGGCTTGTGGTGGCCTTCAACAAGCATTGCGTGAACAGAGCAGCCTCTCTTCAATACACGGAGGCCCGGTGATGTCTGAGAACCTGACTGCGCTTGGTTGGTGCTTGCCATGGGTCCCGGGATCAGGTCCAGGAAGCTGATGCCACCAGCTGCCAGCTCCTGAGCAGCTAACGCACAGCGGGAAGCGAAACATCCAAACACCATATCGCACCGCTCCACCCCACCCCTGCCTCAGGAGATGGCAGGATGTCCTGTGACTGCCGCTGTCCTCCTCGCATCGGCTTGGGCGTCGGGTTGAGGTTGAGGATGAGCTTGGCAGGCTTGGCTGGCTTTGCTGGCTTGGAATTTGAGGGCTTGGGATGTGGCGCCGCTCGTGGCACGAGAGCACTTGCGGAAGCACTCGGCTTCGGCCCAGGCCCAGCTTCTTTGGGCGCCGTTGGCGGCTTGGGCTTGGGTGCGATTTTCTCCGCAGACTTTGTCTTCATGTTGCCTGGGCGATACGAAATTAGCATAGGCCGAGCTGACGAAAGAAGCTGCAGATTCAGGCAAGCTGCAGAGCCAAGGCTTCTGGTAACCACCGCGATCTTTGGTCGTTGCCTTGGACACTGCTTGGAGCGCTGGCGTCGATGTTGTGTGAGCTTGAAACGGCATCTTCAACGTGGAACCTTGGGACAGTCACGGCTACCCTCACAGGACTCGCAAAACCAAAGCACTCAACATGTGTGGCTGCAGGTGAGCAGCCGGACAAGGCATCGGGAGCTGATGCTCGCCTGGCTTGCCGCACCTGTGCCAGAGATGCCGGATGCATCAAAAGCCTGTGCCGCTGGCACCCTCAGAAAAGGCCTGGTCTGTGCGGACATCTGCTCGCCCGTACTTGCTCTGAGAAGGCACGGTCCTTTCCAACAAGACCAAAGTCGGAGTCTGCCAAAGTCAGGGTGGACCCTGCACGGCAGCTTTTAACTGCCGGGTCCTCTTCAGAGCTGTCGTTTTCTGCATGGCTGGAGGCTACAAGGAATGGAATGACTCCAGTCTCAAGCCTACAAGCCTTGGGAATTCCTGGAATTCCATGCTCACTGCATGACATAGAATGTGCATTTGGGTAGTGATGCAAGCATTTCAAAGCGAAGCCGATCTGGCTCTGAGCCACAACTTCGCTGCACCGAGGAAGGATAGCGTGAAATTCTCTTAGGCCTTCTGCGCTTGACACGCCAGTCGGGATGACAGGGATGCAAAATTTGTCAAATTTGCAAACTCACATGCCACGTCTATGCGCTTCTGCAGCGACACCTTTAACAAATACATGTCGAACAGAAAGTCCTTCCCAACAGGGGCCCGGGCCCCACCACTGGTCTCGGAGGCTTGTAAGGCCGTCCAGTGCTTTGTTAAGCACCTCCCGCGAGAAAAGGTGACATGCCACCAGTGGTGAAAGATATGAACATAGCCATGGCTTAGAGATTTCAGAATTTCAGACTCTCATGCCAAACTTACCCACGACTTGCTGAGCCCACTGGATAACTTGTCCAAGGAGTGTGCGCCACATCTGAAACCCCAGCCTTCGCAGTGACTGTACTGTCCTGCTTGGTGGAATCCAGTGCCTTTGGCCAGAGGCGGGGTACGTGCAGACCCCCATCTACCTCCTTGCTCGTGCCCCTGCAGGCGTGCCTGGGACGTATTACTTGAGTCTTGGAGAATAAAGCGCAAGGCCTGGCAGCAGGATAAAGACCTTAATCAAGCACGGATTGCGCCATTCAACTTCCAACCTTGTCGCACTCCTCACTCGTCTTCTGGATGTGCGCCAACTCATCTTCAAGCTGCGCCTCAAGTTGCTGCAACCAGGATGCCAGCGAGAATGCGCTGGGATGCGCTGGGATGCGCTGGGAATCTCTGGCCTTGATGCGGTCATGTGCCCGGGCATCGGCACTAAACAGCATTGAGGAAGTCCGCGCAGACTCCAGGGTGCCCTGTTCCCGCTCGCGCTCCTATCGCAGACAAATCGTTCCAAGGACAAAACTGCCTTGCCTTGAATTTGCGGCACCTCGTTGCACCACGACTGCTTCTTGGATCCTTGGGATAGCTATCCATGATGGGATTTGCCCACAGTCCAATGTATCTAGCAATAACAATAAGAGCACTAAGAATAGTAGCAAGATTAATTATTACGGTAATAATGGCTTTAATACGTAATAATGGTAACAATAGTAATAATGCACTACTAGTAATGGTGATAATAATAACAATCGTAACAAATAATAACAATAGGCACTGTTCTGTAGACTCAGGCTGACGCGCTCCAAATTCTCGTCGCCATGCATTTTCGAGATCAGCTCAAGCACTCTCGGACGCTGCTCCCGTGGCATGGCCTTGGATATCCCCAGCCCAAGCGGCCCTAAGCCCGTATGCAAATAGGTAGCTCCCGAAACAAAGGTCCCATGTTGGTACCCCTAAATATTAGGTGCCGTAGTATAGTCTATAACCAAGAGGGGCCCCTGGATTTTGAGAACAACCCAAATTGGCAACTTTTTTTCCGCACATCACCAGCACCGTCAGCCTATCAGAGCTCTCCGTAAAGGATCAGCAGCCTTGCGAAGCAAGCACTGCCAAGCACTTGCAAGCCTTGCTTTGCTTGAAACAACTCTACGAGGCCAAGCATGAAGCAGCCACACACACAGCACTGAAAGGGTGCATCAAGTGTTAAGACTATCCGATGCCTGCAAAGCATTCAGGCATTGCTCTTCCGTCTGCCAGTTCAGCGGAGATGAAGTTCGTTTGGGCTCCTGAGCTGCAGGTCATACAAAAAATGTGAAGCAATTTCGTACCTCCACGCACTGTTGGCCAAGATGCGAGGTGAGGCCAGTGGCCTGTAGTCCTGCATTGGGCATTGAGATCATCACCCGCGCGACCCAGCCAGGAAGCTCATATCGCATTTGTGCTCAGAAACTGAGACCCTAGCAACCCTTGCACATAAGCCAGTCGGCGTGCTCGAAGTGCGGCTGGTGAAGCCCAATGCCGTGGCGTCATGCACACCTGAGCAAGGCTGAGACATGCTGAGACGCTGCAGTGGATGGACATGAGAGGCAAATGCGTCCGGCGGACATAAACCACGGCTCGCAGCAGCTCGTTGGGAGGCGAATGCGGGCTCAGGGGCAGAAAGGACTTGGGATCATTGCAAGATGCAACATCTTGGACTCTGCCTGCGCATTGCTGGTCCACTACAGTGCGCAGTGCGACCTGCATCAAGCACCAGGTCTGCTGTGCTTGCCCAAAGTGGAACACACCTACAGCCTTTGGCATGTGTATGGCCAGTGTAAGAGCACCACTGTCCCACAAGACAAGATCACCTGCGCGGCATGGAACCAGCCTGAACATGACGGGTAGAAGGCATGCTGGCTGTTTTCCTTCTGGGCTTCCACAAGTTATAAGAATCCGCCTCCTCGCTTGCACCATGACAGGGCTCCACCATGGAAGGCGGAAGAAATCATTGCTGGTAGCTGGGCGAGATGGCCAATCCTCTCAGGATCACGAATCATAGAACAGGTGCGCCTGCATGCCTTCTACAAATGACCAATCAAGTCTCAAGCATCAGGTCCTGCCAGGCAACAACGTGACTGTGGTTTTTATGTGAACCCGGAATGACATAGAGACCGCCAGTGAACTCATCTTGATCGGTGAGGGATACGAATCCTTGTACTGCTTGTAATCCTTGGCGTCCACGTCCCTCAAGGGCCAGCGAGGCCGTGTATTGAGCACTCAACCCCTAACAACATCCAAAGCACGTGTTCAACTCAAGGCAAACATGTACCTGGTCCACGTGGAACCAACCACCTTCCGTCTTGGCAAAGCCATGGTGCCAGGGCCGGAAGATGTTCACACCATCAAAGGATGTTAAGAGTTCATCCGTACCCCAAATGCGTCCTTACTTGGCTGAACAGAAAAAAAAAAGCAAGAATCGGACCTGATCAGCTCCTCCAAACAGCTCAGGCTTCGGCTGAAAGCGCATCGCACCCCGGGCAGAGTTCTGATCATCCAGGCCACATCGGACTGACCTGGGGAACTCTCATGCAGCAGGATCTGACTGCCTGCAATCAAGGGCAGCAAGGCTCAAGTACATTGCAAAACCCTAATTCGCAGAAGACCAGAAACAGTGGGATGTGCATACAGGCAGCCGATGCGATCTGCCGAGAGTATGCCAGTGAACCAGGCTCCTTTCATGCTGCTTTACGTGTGCGTTTTGCACTTACCATTTGGCTTACTTCCTAAACCCTAAACCCTAAACCCTGAACCCTAAACCCTAAACCCTAAACCTTCACTCCCCCACTCCCCCTTCAGCACCAGTAAGCTTGGGGATGCATTCTGGGTCCCAATGTTGTGACAGTGGCTCCTGGGTCCAGCTGCGCCAGGCTTTCGTCCGTCCACGTGGAAGCCTTGTAGCGCTCCCAGCCTGCTTCCTTCAGGTTACTGGTGTTGCAGATAAGGAACTTAAATCAAGTTCCCATATTATGAATATATAATAGAACGCTTTCCTTGTTGTAGTAGCTTTATTTAAGTTCCTTAACAGCAACCTAGCAAGGCAAAACACAGGAGTCGCAAAGAGCGGCTGAGAAATGATCAAGCTTGCCTTACGCGAATATAACGCCTACATAATCCCGATGTAACCCCTACATAATCCCTATATAATCTCTATGTAAGATCAGATTCCGTTACTCGCTACAAAGCACCACGAAGTCGCCTGCTGCAGCAGCTCCCAAAGCAAATGCCAGGCCCGTGCGAGGTCGGCAGCATCTGCCACGCCCCTGCAAGCTCTTGTCTTTGCATTCGGCTTTGTCCACATCACCCCTGTTATTATCAGTACTGCGACTGCTGCTGCTGCTGCTGCTGCTGCTACTACTACTACTACTACCACTACTACTACTACTACTACTGCTGCTACTACTACTCCTATTTTTTTCTTGATATTATCATTTTTACTCCTACTACTATTCTTATTCTGAGTATCACTGTCAAAACCCGGTCAAGCCCAGGCTCCTTACCACCGCGAATCCATCGGCTTCCAGGGCGGCCAGCAGCGCGGCATCGTGGCAATCGAAGCGAGGTACAGGAGACACGTTCACAGCAGGTTCCTCATGAGCTATATTCTCAGATCTATAAAGGTGTTAGATAAGAGATTACATAGGGCATAGGGGACTACTATAGGGGTTATGAAGGGGCATATTAGGAGTTTAGACTATGGGTCTCATGAATTCTGATGTGAGAGCTTCAAATTGAACCTGGATCAACTTGCCAAGGGACCGGTCGTTGAATGTACCTGTCAAAGAGTGTCACGAATCAAAAACGTATTATCAGCCTGGCCTGTTGGGTATCCAGCCTTGTGGAGGCAGTTGCAACCAGGAACGGCGACAAGCGCATGAGTTTCCCCCATTGCGTCAGTTTTGCCAGCGAGTTTTATGAGGGATGTGTTCAGATCTTGGCATCTCTTCCTAGGCTTTTGCAAGTCTCGCCATGCTTTGTTGAAAAGGACTTCTTGAACCCAATGAACAGGCAGCACTAGCATGCATGGCAGCTGCTTGATGGAAACATGACTTAGACTAACCGAAATATAGCCCCTACATTATATATTCCGTACCCTCATAAAGCTCCTATATGATACACACACACATATATATATATGTACATCTCCCTCGCTTCCCTATGTAACCCCTATGTTATATATATATAACCTCTATATAAGCCTATATCCCCTTTAAAGATGCAAAGCTTCAGAAATGCATGCAGCTTCTGAGAAGCTGACTGGGAGAACGTCCTGCATCTGGGAATCTGATGGCCTGGCACTGGTTTCTTGTACCTCTAAAGAGGATATAGGGGTTCTGACAAGGATTATATAGGGGTTATATATACTATAATATGGGGGCTATATGAGGTTATATATATATATGACGTAGGGATATAGGGGCTATATGAGGGTTATCAATTTATATAGGCATATAGGGGTTATATAGAATGTAGGGCTAGAGGAGGTTAAAAAGGTTGGGGAGGCTCAAACATGGGGCTAAGCGCACCTGGACTGGAATGGTAGGGACAGCTCGTCCATCTTGTCCTGTGGCATCGCATCTTGCAGGCCCTATAAAAATAATGTAAAACCCCATGTTCTTTATATATACATATATACATATATAACTAACTAACCCCTACATAATCCCTATATGATATATGGCCCCTCTATTATGTAACCCCTATTATGCAATTGGATGGAAACAGAGACTGCCTCGTAGCTGGCTGGCTTGGACCTGGCAGAAAAATTGGGCCACAGTTCGGCACGCGCGCGAAGCAGCCCTGCCTAAAGAGAGAAAGTAGGTCGGGAAGCTCTGCAGCCTAGTACTTCACAAGCCACCCAACAGTTCCATAGATCTAGAAGAAGCTTCAGGCATCATGCTGAGGTTCCGAGCACTTTCGCTGGCCATCTGCAACAAGCTCACCTGCAATTCATTGACGTTCAATCAGTTCTTCAGTAACCAGTCACATCTAACAGAACTGCCCTGTTTGGACTGATGTCGCAAAAATGACTATTCTATTTACTAAAGGGGGGCCATAACCCTAAACCCTAGGTCCTAAATAACCCATTATAGTGTCTCTTGCTCTGAGACGCTGGCGTCCCGGAGTGCTGTGCGCACCTTGGACTCGTCAATCCGGTGAAGCGCCTGAAAATGCTTCCCGCATGAAGGTGTAAACAGAGCTCGGCAGGGAGCTATCAAAGCCCAAATCCCCTAAACCCTAAACCCTAAATCCTAAACCCTAAATCCTAAACCCTAAACCCAGGTTCCATGTCATTTCCCATGTTCCTGTCTATTTGATTCTCCATGATTGGATATATATCCCTTATTATAACCCTGTTTGCAAATCCCCGAGGGGCGGCCTCAGCAGCGGAGATGGCCTTTGCTTGAGCTTTGTGGAGATGCAAAGGTGCAGGATCTTACTTACTATTTCTATTACTAATTACGAATTACTAGCTACTAATTACTGATTACTAACTACTAATGACTAATTACTAATTACTAGTACTAATTACTAATTACTAGTACTATTACTAATTACTAATTACTAATTACTATTACTAATTACTAATTACTATTACTAATTACTAATTACTATTACTAATTACTAATTACTAATTACTATTACTATGACTATTATTATTTCTATTTCTATTACTGTTACTATTACTAGTACACTTACTGTTACTATTACTGTCAGTATTACTATTACTATTACTATTACTATTACTAAATACTATTACTATTAGTATTACTAAATACTATTACTATTAGTATTACTAAATACTATTACTATTAGTATTACTAATTACTATTACTATTACTATTACTATTACTATTACTACTACTATTACTATTACTATTACTAATTACTATTACTGTTACTGTTACTGTTACTATTACTATTACTATTACTATTACTATTACTATTACTATTACTATTACTATTACTACTACTATTACTGTTACTGTTACTGTTACTGTTAAT